GTCTGCCAAGCCAGAGGTATTGAGTCTTCTGTGAGCAGACAGAACACAGAGGAGTTTTCTCTTTACATCTCTCTTTACAACAATGGAAAATTCTGTTTGGCTCATGTTTTTAGAGATCTCTAAATTTCTAACCAGCATCTCCTCTATCCTGTAATCTGTTGTGAAAGTACTGTCTTCCACTCCATAGGTTCTGAAATCAACCTTGTCTTTTAAAGAGAATAAATAGAGGAATTCCTTGCTCAGTATTTATTTAAATCCCATCCACTTTACTTTTGCTTATCCCTCCAGGCCCTGTATCTTCCCCTGTGATGGAGCTGCTGGCTGGTACTACACTTGGAAACAATGACAGACTTTATTTTCTTGGGCTCCAAAATCACTATGGATGGTGACTGCAGCCATGAAATTAAAAGACAGTTGTTTCTCGGAAGAAAAGCAACGACAAACCTAGACAGTGTATTAAAAAGCAGAGATGTTACTTTGCCTACAAAGGCCCATTTAGTCAGAGCTATGGTTTTTCCAGTAGTCATGTAGGGATGTGAGAGCTGGACAATATAAAAAAGGCTGAGCGTTGAAGAAGTGATGCCTTCAAACTGTGGTGCTGAAGAAGACTCTTAAGAATCCCTTGGACAGCAAGATCAAGCCAGTCAATGCTAAAGAAAATCAACCCTGAATATTCATTGGAAGGATTGATGCTGAAGCTGAAACTCCAATATTTTGGTCACCTCATGTGAAGAATCTTCTTATTGGAAAAGACCCTGATGCTGGGAAAGATTGAAGGCAGGAGGAGAAGGGGACAACAGAGGACGAGATGGTTGAATGGAATCACAACTCTCTCGACATGAGTTTGAGCAAGCTCTGGAAGATGGTGAAGGACAGGGAAGCCTGGCGTGCTGCGGTCCATGGGGTCACAAAGAGTCAGATACAACTGAACGACTGACAACAACAACCGCACTTGGAGGGTCTAAGTTTCCTGTACTTGGTCCTAGATGCCCAGGGCTGGCTCTTTGCTTCCGACAGCTAGACCACCTCACAGCATCCTGAACCTCCACGGCTACATGGCCTGTCTTCCTACATATACTGATCCTAATTCTGAGGCTGCTATTTTTAAAACTGGACATGTTGCCTGTAGGTTGCATACATTGTCAGTGTTTTTTTTAGGCAATGGCATGGCCACCAGTGGATTCCGGCGCCCAGTTGGTACTACCACTGGGCTGCCTTGGTTCTCCCCTAACCCACTGGGGCAGAGCGGACGCTGGACCCGCCCCCTGCTTTCCTATGTAGCTCGTGATGGCTTTCACTTGATGCTGTCCCCAGTCTTATAATCTTTCTCTGCTCGACTCTGAGCTTTCTCATTTGACCACAGTTTTCGCTCCACACGCAGAAGCCTTCATGCACCCTCTCCACCCAAAAAAAAACAGTACTTATAACTGCCTTTCCTGAGATCAATGGAATTCCCAGGTGGCTCAGTGGTAAAGAATCAGCCTGCCAAGGCAGGAGACATAGTTCAATCCCAGGTTGGGGAAGATCCCCTGGAGGAGGAAATGGCAATCCCCTCCAGCATTCTTGCCTGGAAAACCCCATGGACAGAGGAGCCTGGTGGACTACTGTTCGTAGGGTTGCAAAGAGGGTTACATGACTGAGCAAGTAGCACACACACAAGCTGGACACAACTGATCACATGCACACCTGAGACCAATACTGTGATCATATCCAATTCACTGTCTCCTTTTCATTTCTCTGTCTCCTTCATTCTACTCTTGCCCCGAGCCCATCTTCCCCTCTGAACATGGGCCATTTCTCCAAATATGCCAAGCTGGTCATAAACCCCCTTCCTGCCTGTATAACCTGAACCTCCTCTTTCTCTGCCTGTTATTAGCTTCTTTATCCGGGAGCACATCCCATTTATTATTAAATTTCATTTATACAGAAAAGAAACAACAATTAGATGTGTAAAAAAAATCTGAGTCTGGTGCCGGCGGGCTTTTGAGCTAATGGATCTCAGCCTACAGTGAAGGAACAACCTAGCGACGAATACACAGAGGTCATCTTTGGCCCATTCATCTCACAGAGGACCAAGATGACCACTTTCTGGCTCTGTCACCTTGGAAGATTTCCTCAATGGCTTTGAAGCTTGGGTTTCTTCATCCGTTGATGGGTGGCAACTACCTCAAATATCTACAGAAAATTAAAATCAAGGATCCAAACCCAAGAAGCAGTTTTGTTGTAAACAGTGCTCAGTCTCATTTCCCCCCACCTCCAAGTCCCCAGTTCTCACAGTCCTGGCAGTGAGGAGGATCGTGATGCTCTGACCTGTCCATGTCTGGTACCTGCAAACCTCCACATAGTCTCCACCTGCTAGAGGAAAATAGCTGTATCCCCATGGAGCCAGAACCCCATGGTTTCTCAAGAGGTGGCTTTGCCTTGTGGGCCAGCCAGCACAGATGATTAAAAAATATTTTTCAGCAGAATCTAGAGCCCTGATATCCCCAGCCCACTGGCAGGGTTCTCTCCCTACATAGCTTTCTTCCTATTGGCAGGGGAGAGAAAATGAGAAACGTGGAAATTTAATATCTTCACATTATGCAGATCTGATTTAATCAGAGATGAGGGTGAAGTGCAATAAAAACTATAGTTTCATTAAGTTTATGACTTTCACACTGTTATGTCAATTATTCTGTTTCCATGGCCACCAGCGGTAACAGCCTCAGCATGACTGTTCCCAAACAGAAGAGAAAGCAGGAGGAAATGTTAAGAGACGGGACTGAATTTCTCACTGACAACTCTTTCCTGTTTCTGGAAAGGTTTCTGGAAAGGAGTAAATCAAGTTGGAAGAGTCTTGAGGGTTCCTTCCCAGAGGAAAACCAGGCAGAGAATGGGAAGCTAGGAGAGAGGCTGTGCGTATCTTCAGGTTTTCATTTGTTCCAAAAAACTCTCATAGACCCTTATCTTGCTGGAGTGAGTCAACCAGGAATCTTGCCTTGCATTACAAATGGAATATTTCCTGCCATATCAATAAACAAGGATATCTTGTTTATAAACATGGTCATCAGGGATTCTGTCCCTCTCAATGTAAATTTCTGAACGGGAGGGCGCCCAGGGAAAACAACACCTGGGATCTGCTGATAGCTGCTGCCACTCCCTACTACACTCCCTATGGTGAGAGAGGAACTAAGCTAAGGATGAGAAAAATCAAGTCTCAGGATGCTGGCCCCAGATAGAGTGAAAGTCATTCAGTCTCGTCCGACTCTTTGTGACCTCATAGACTATATAGTCCATGGAATTCTCCAGGCCAGAATACTGGAGTGGGTAGCCTTTCCCTTCTCCAGGGGATCTTCCCAACCCAGGGATTAAACCCAGGTCTCCCACATTACCAGCAGATTCTTTACCAGCTGAGCCAGAAGGGAAGCCCAATAATACTGGAATGGATAGCATATCCCTTCTCCAGCGGATCTTCCTGACCCAGGAACAGAACCAGGGTCTCCTGCATTGCAGGTGGATTCTTTACCAGTTGAGCTATGAGGCCCCAGATAACTGGGATGCATATGCAAGGAATGATGTCAGTGAGCCCAGAATCTTGCATCTTCCCACACATAAGAAAAGCGCCAAGCTCTTTAACTTGAGATACCTGATTTTCCTTAATTAACAATAATTTTTTGCTGTTCAGACTACCTGCCCCTTGTTGCAAACTTCTATATAAGTTGACCCCCCCACCACCATCTCCTCGAAACAGTTCTCTCAGGGTTACTTGAGATGCTGTCTCCCACGCTTGAAGTACTAAAAATTTCAACCAAATAAAATATAACCTTCAACTTTGGGATTGTGACTATTGAAGTTGATAGTGCCAAGCAGTCAAGTAGCAAAACTGAAGGGCAAGAACTTGGCCCATGGCTTGCCAACAGGATGGGCCATCCAGTACCTTGTTTCTTCTCAAGGATTACAGCATGAAGCTAAATTTGTGGAAGGCGGTGGATGGCAGCGGTTCCAATGACAGATTATGTGGCTGCTACACCTTCCAAACACTGCATGGGGCACGAGGATGGAGGAATCATCAAAGTAAAATGTTCACAAGTTGCTGGTGGGAAGTTTGACTGGTAGATCCCAACATACCTGCCTCCATGTTGCATGACTCATGGATATCTGCAAGGAGCGGGGAGTTCTGCACAGGGGAGGGGAAGACAGTGGCTATTTTGTTAGATGTGACACTGGGCGAGCTGTGCTGGTTACCTGCCCAATCCCCATTCCCATTCTGCCCTTACTCACACACCACCCCACTAAGACTGCTCACCCCTCACGTTCCCTTCCAGCTCCAGGTAGTGATGAGACACATTTCTGGCTGATGACAATTAAATGGAGGGTACAGAAGATAACAGAAGTACCTGTGTGTGATTTCTGGGGCTAGATTATAAAGACATTGAATTCCCCATCTTGTCTCTCTCTTGGATTATTCACTATGGAGAAAGCCAGATATAATGATGCAGAACATTAAAGCATCCCCTGAAGAAGACCTCATAATGAAAAACTCCATCCAAAAGCCAGCACTAACTTTGGTATCCACATGAGTGAGCTGTCTTGGACCCAAATCCTCTAACCTCTGTCAAGCCTTCAAGAAGTTGCAGCCCCAACTGATGTCCTGACTTATGATGTCCTCATAAGTGGTCCTGAACCAGAAGTACCTATTAAGCGACTTGTAAATGCCTGACCTAGGAAGTATGCCAGATGACACGTGTTTTATTTATTATTTTATGCCTCTAAGCTTTGGAATAATTTGTTTTGGAACAATAGAAATTTAACATACCACTTATGTTGGTACTATCAAAGAGTTCCTTACAAGCCTTAATTTCCTTATTTGCAAAATGAGAGTAATTGTGGTACTTACCCTAGTGTGTTAAGAGGATGTTATGAGTTACTACATGCATAGCATTTATAAACGTGCCTTGCACATAGGAGTGCTCAGTAATAGTAGTGCTTTTATTGATTTAAAAATTTTATCAATATTTTGGCCGAGCATCTTTTGAACCAGAGCGACGAGGCGTGCGGGCAGCAGCAGCAGGCACCTGGGCCCCAGCCGTGCCGCCTCGTTACGATGACCAGCGTGGTTAAGACAGTGTACATCCTGCAGCCCTCCTGTGTGCTGAGCAGCGGCCTGCCTGCAGATGCACAAACTCGAGCCACTTTTAAGAGCCAGTTACCTGTTAAGTCCAAAGAAGTTGATGTTTCCAGACCTCATTCAGGACCTTCAGAGAATGATGTTACAAAAATCATCAAACCGAGATGAGAGAATGGGCAAGTTGAAGGCTACAGACACCTCCAGAAGGAACCTCAGAAAGAGCTACAAACCATTAAGTAAACAGAAATCGGAAGAAGAGCTCAAGGATAAGAACCAGCTCTTAGAGGCTGTCAACAAGCAGTTGCATCAGAAATTGATTGAAACTCAGGGAGAGCTGAAGGACCTGACTCAAAAAGTAGAGCTGCTGGAGAAGTTTCAGGACAACTGTTTGGCAATTTTAGAAAGCAAAGGCCTCAACCCAGGCAGTGAGACCCTGGCGTCACAGCAGGACTCCACCGCAGATCACATGGACTCCATGCTGCTGTTACAAACTTTGCAAGATGAACTGAAGCTTTTTAACGAAACAGCCAAAAAGCAGATGGAAGAGTTACAGGCCTTAAAGGTAAAGTTGAAGATGAAAGAAGAAGAGAGAGCCCAGTTCCTTGAACAACAGACCTTATGTAGCAGTCAAGTAAATGATTTCACAGCAGCCCTTGAGGAAATGGAACAGCTATTAGAAATATGATAAAAAGCAGGTGGCCACATGGCTCTCTCTTGGGGATAGACTCTCAGAGGAAGCTACTTAGGACATCTGCTTCTTGGCCATGATCTTCTAGGACTCACCATCCCCAGAATGAAAAGAGTTTTTGCAGTAGGATTAAAGACAATCGATGTTGGAATGGCAATTCCTCCCTTAAGCAAGCATTCGTTCCCAGCCTTCAGACTGTCCAGCTCTCCTGAACCTCACAGTTCATAATTAGGGCCTACAGGAGAGGGGGCCTGAAAGCTTGGATCAGCCTCCTAGGATCAAAAAGCAGCACATCATTAGCATCAGGAGACTCTAAACCAGCCACAACCAGAGAAGCCAGAAGATGTGCAGAAAGAAACAGTGAAGCATACATGCTCATGGGAGACATCACTGAGGAGTCACGTCCCTTCCTAACTTGGAACACATTCTGTCCCATCCTGGCTGGGCTCTGTAACCTCACTGTAAATTTATGAACTGAAAGTTACCTGAAATGGCTTCATAATGGGATGAAGGTATAGATAGCAATAACAGGTATGAAACAATACAACTTGGAGCTTTTAATCTAAAAAAAAATAAAATAAAAAAATAAAAATTTTATCAATATTTTATTGATAAATATTTCCTGACCCTGTTGGCCTATGACACTGGCTGTTGAAGTGCATTAAGAAACTGACCTCTTGTTTACAGCAAATTTTGTCTACAACAGAAGGAGCATCCATCACAAAAGACACGGCCACTAGCTCATTCAGGAATAATCTGGGCTCCAAGGATTCTGGACCAAGAATCCCTAAGATATAAGAAGCAGGGACTTTTCTGCTGGTCCAGTGGCTAGGACTCTGTGCTCCCAATGCAGGGGGCCCAGGTTTGATATCTGGTTAGGGAACTAGATCCCACATGGGAACTAAGACCCAGCACAGCCAAAAAACAAAAAAGATGTAAGAGGCAAAATGCTCAATTGTTTTTTGACTTGTGATTATACCTGTATGTATGCTTAGTCACTCAGTCGTGTCCAACTCTTTGGGACCCCATGGACTGTAGCCCACTAGGCTCCTCCAGGCAGGAATACTATACTGAGTAGCCATTCCCTTCTCCAAGGGATCTTCCTGTGCCAGACACTGACCCCAGGTCTGCCTGCATTGTAGGCAAATTCTTTACCATCTGCGCCACCAGGGAAGCAGGCATTCTCAGTCTGCCAGTGCAAGAGAAGCAAGAGACTTGGTTTCAATCCCTGGGTTGGGAAGATCCCCTGGAGTAGGGAATGACAACCCACCCCAGCATTCTTGCCTGGAAAAATAGGAAACTTACTTGTCTTATGCCTGTATAGCGCAGCTGAAGCCCTGTGATGATAGATTAACCCCCTATGAATTCTACCGTACAAAGGTCTGTGACAGCCCAGGAGTTACATTTTCTTCAGGCTTAACGAACTGTAGAAAGCAGAAATACCCTGACAAATCTTCACTCACTTTTTAATAAAAAGGACAGTCTTTTGGTTTAATAATGGGCACAGCTAAAATGTAACCCTAGGTTTTTATAGACAGCAAATTGCACAGCACAACAACATTTAGCGAGCATTCATTTGGAACTCCTCTCTACAGGGTAATCTGTAATTTAGCTGATTACTGAGAAGTGTTTAAAGAGCCCCCCACCCCCACCCTTGTCAACTTAGCTTGTGCAGATACCCAGCTGGCTCTTAGGTGCAGCTTGTCTCTGGTTGCCCTTCAGAAGTGCAGTGCTAATTATTTCATTAGCTCCTACCCTCAGAATTCCTTAAGAAATTTAAGAGCTCTTAAGACGTCTTTGGCTGTTGAGGCTCCCACCTCACCTGCTCTATGCGGCTTCATGTACAACATGGAGAAATGAATACCTTACCCCCTCTCTACTCCCAACTGAGCATCTGAGGACACCCCTCCTTGTGCAGATACCCCCATCATCATCAAAATTTGGACTCACTAAGACGCATACACAATTTGATTCTTGAACATGTTGTGATGTGTGTACTCAGTTGCTCAGTCCTGTCTGATTCTGTATGATCCTATGGACCGCAGCCCGCCAGGCTCCTCTGTCTGTGGGATGATCCCAGGCAAGAATACTGGAGTGGGTTGTCATTTTCTCCTTCAGGTCTTCTCCCTGAACTAAGGATCGAACCCACGACTCCTGCATTGGCAGGAGGATTCTTTACCACTGAGCCACCTGGAAGTAATGATACATGTTATAATACACATCCATAGTAGCATCTCTAGATCTGGAGGTCAGAGACTTCTGCTTGCCATTTACTGGACTGATATTGAGGAGGACGGGAAGGGTGGACGAGATAAGTAAAGCCCAAAGGTCCTTGGGTCACCGCGGTGGACAGCTCATTGCAGAGCTGGAGCTTGACCTTCAAAAGCCTAATGTAGCCTGTGCTTTGGGGCTCTGTGAGCCACCCGCTCTCTGATCCACATCTACTGCGCCATCACAAGACCTGGAAACCTGAGCTGATGAATCGTTTCTGTGCTTGTAGGTACCACACAAGGAGCACCCATCGTGTCAAATCCTGGGGTCAGGAGATGTGTGCTCTCGTCTCTCCTCTGCTTCTAATCAGCCAGTCATTTACCTCTGAGTTTTTGCATTTTATATAGGAAAAAAAAATGGAAATCTGTACCTGGTGCAGTTTCTTGGCTTCCAGTCTGAGTCAGAGGAAGGAGAAAAGCACTCAGGTTTAAAAGGCACTACGTGCCAGGCTTTTTATAGATACAGTCTCACTTCATCTGGATGCAATCTGTGAGATAAGTGTGTAGTCACTATGTCACAGATGAGAGACTGAGGTTCAGCGTCCAGTCACCTGACTGTTCCCCTCACTCCAGATGGCACAGTCCCAGCTCCCTCTGACCACCCAAGACAAGAGTCCTCCCCACTCCCCAACTGGAGCTTTTCATATTCTGGTTCTTTAGGGCTCCCATCACACCTGTGCTCAGTTCTTCGTTACATCACAGCATTGCATGATATCCTGCTTGATTATACATCTCTTTCACTCTTTCTGGACAGATACTCTTAACTACCTTTGTGTGGCCAGGGTTCAGGTACTGCCGAGCGCATAGTAAGTGTTCAGTAAACATTTTAAGATGCTGACCTCAAGGTCTCCAGCCGGGTCACCAAAGGTTCTGCAGGAAGCAGAAACAGTTCGGACTTCTGACGGAACTGGGGAAAGCAGGAAGCAGAAAGGCACAGAGAGCTGAAGATCAATACGGGGCTCAGGTTGAGGGTGGAATCCAGGAGCTAGTTAGGGCGATGAGTTTGGACCACCTCCCCCGGCCCCACCAGTCCAGGTTCCCTCCTCCACCTTCCAGCACTGGGCCACCAAAAGTGATTTCTCCAACCTCGTGCTTGATCCTGAAAGAAGAACTATATACAAAAAAAATCATCATGACCCAGATAACCACAATGGTGTGATTACTCACCTAGAGCCAGACATTCTGGAGTCCAAAGTCAAGTGGACCTTAGGAAGCATCACTACGAACAATGCTGTGGAGGTGATGGAATTCCAGCTGAACTATTTCAAGTCCTAAAAGATGATGCTGTGGAAGTGCTGCACTCAGTATGTCAACAAATTTGGAAAACTCAGCAATGGCCACAGGGCTGGAAAAAGTCAGTTTTTATTCCAATACCAAAGAAAGGCAATGCCAAAGAATGTTCAAACTACCACACAATTGCACTCATCTCACATACTAACAAAGTAATGCTCAAAATTCTCCAAGCAAGGCTTCAACAGCACGTGAACCAAGAACTTACAGATATTCAAGCTGGATTTAGAAAAGGCAAAGGAACCAGATATCAGTGCCAACATCCATTGGATCATAGAAAAAGTAAGAGAGTGCCAGAAAAACACCTACTTCTGCTTTATTGACTATGCCAAAGCCTTTGACTGTGTGGATCACAACAAACTGTGGAAAATTCTTCAAGAGATGGGAATACCAGACCACCTTACCTGCCTCCTGAGAAATCTATATGCAGGTCAAGAAGCAACAGTTAGAACCAGACATGGAAAAACAGACTGGTTCCAAATTGGGATAGGAGTATGTCCAGGCTGTATACTGTCACCCTGCTTATTTAACTTATATGCAGAGTACATNTGTGTTTGAGTACATTCCGGGAGTTGGTGATAGACAGGGAAGCCTGACGTGCTGCAGTCCATGGGGTCACAAAGAGTCAGATATGACTGAATGACTGAAATGAACTGAAATGAACTGACAGATACACAGGCCCAATGTTACAAATGTTCCAGCACTCAATATAGGAATATTTCAAGCACCCAGGTCAAGAAGATTATCTTTTCTTATGCTTCATCAATAGCTTAAATCTATGCTTCATTTTACTTAACTTCCTATCTGGATTATGGTTTGTTTTCATATGCTTGTTTTCCCTAAAGTCTCTAATGGACTTTCTTTTCTCTTGCTGAGAAAAGAAAAGCATACTTTCTTTACCATGTTGTTATAACCATCCAGCCACTTAATCATTCTATTGCTTAATTCATTTCGTTTTCTTTCAGGAAAACATTCTTTTTGAAATTTTTTGCATATTTCTGTTTAATTTTGGCCTGTTGCACAGCTGTCATCCTGGAATGTCTTATTTACATTTCTCCACTTCTTGTTACTTACGTCTTCTTTCTTGGCTTCTACTCATGTTTTTCTGGAGTAAATATTCAGCCTCCTCACAAAGGGACCATAGAAGGTAAATTTTAAATTTCATAAGGTTTCAGAATGCCTTTTCCTCTCTGTCTCCACTTGACTGATAGTATAATTGACCATAGAATTTAGGTTCAAAGTAATTCCTCCCCCCCCGCCCCAAAACTTTGCCTTCTAACATTGAGTGCTGTCAATAAGAAGTCTGTTGAATGGCTAGCTTGGTTATCTATGACTTTTTTTTTCTGCGAAGTCTTTAAGAATTGTCTGTGTACCTTCAGTTTTCTGAAATTTCACATGATATATATTGATAGGGATCTTTCAGGAAATTTACATGATATGTGTCAGTGTGGTTCCTTCTAGAACTTTGCAAAATTTGTGTCAGTCTAGATTTTTCTTCATTTACTCTAGTCTGCACTAGAAAGGCCCTTGACCATCTCTTTACAGCCTTGGAAATGCTGGTACTTCTGTGTATGATTGTCTTATTTCCTCCCTTTTCTCCGCAGGTTTCATGCGGGACTCTTGAACTCTCTTTATTCTCAGGCTCCTTATCCTCTCACTCAGATTCACCATATCTTTGTTTTCTTGCTCTGTGGTCTGCCAGGTATCATTAATGGCTTCTAACAG